CCATGCTGCTGACATTGATTTCGAGCCCCTGGGCCCACGCCTCCATGTCCACCTCTACTGCTGTTCCAGACGCACCGCCGACACCCACATTGTTGACCAAGATATCCAGTCTGCCAAACTCTTGCAACGCCGTCTTCACAGCGTCCTCGCAATCTGTGGCTTTTGTTACGTCGGATTGGAGTGCGATTGCTTTTCCATAGTTGGCAGAGGATGTGATCATTGATGCGGTTTTCTGTGCCCATGAAAGATTGATATCGAGACAGAGGACGTGGCAGCCTTCCGAGGCAAGAATGATTGATATAGCCCGGCCATTTCCGATACCTTCTCCTGCGCAGCCCGCACCTGTGACAATCGCCACTTTGTCCTTGAGACCTCGAGGAGGTGGTGTGATTGGTATGTCGGTCATTCTTTTCAGTAGTCTAGTTTTGATCACATGCGCCGAGTTGGTCTGGTGAATGGAGAAGCGCACGTGAAGCTGAATTCACGTGACCAGTTTCTGAACTGATGTATACGAAAGCGAATCTACAGAGTGTTGCGAAGCGAACCACCCCCAGCTTCTGATATAGTTCTAGCTGGCTTCGGACAACCTTCTGAAGGTCCGGCAACCCGTATTAGGGTGTAGGCGCAATGATGGACCTCGGAACTGACAAGAGTGGGATACCGTGAACGCTAAGGGAGGGGCTGTGAGCATTACCCAGAACTCATTGATAATCAACTCAGAATTTATTGACAATCAACGCAATACGCCTCAGCCCCAGTTTCCAATCTTCATCTTGCATCGCAAATCGTGCTGCCCGTCTTTCGGACTGACTTCCCACTCTATTGCTAAGACACTTCCCAAGACAATGGCCGACTTCTCCTCATATGGTGGTCCCTCCGAGGAGTGGCTCGCAGTCGAAAGGACGCTCCCGGCGTTAACATTCGACCTCTCCCTACCCGTTGACGACCTCAAAGCTTCCGTCAATGCAATCCGCGAAGAAGCCGGTGCAGCGGGCATAAAACCGTTTGCGTCCAAGCTCCACATCAAAGAGCACACCATTACAACGCGCGACTCGGCGACAATCCAAGCCCGATCATACCGCCCAATCAACAAATCGGCAGACGAGAAACTTCCTGTATTTCTCTACTTCCACGGCGGCGGATTTCTCTTCGGGTCGCTGAACACGGACGATCCAACTTGTGCCCAAACTGCCGTGAATCTCGGTATCCTCGTAGTAAGCGTGAATTATCGGCATACGCCCGAACACATATTCCCTACCGCATGGAACGACACACATGATGGTTTCGCATGGCTGCATAAGAACATTTCGGAACTTGGTGGCGATGCGAGTAAAATCGTGGTGGGAGGCATCTCCGCCGGCGCCCAACTAACCGCATCGCTGGTTTTGGAGCAACACCTTGGGAAAGCTCTCACCGAGTTCCCGCCCGTCGTAGGACAGATTCTCTTGATCCCTGCGCTCGCATACATAGATACCTACAAGGAAGGGCCCTTGAAGCGCATCAAGAGTCCTGAGATATCGAGTTATGTCGAGAATGAGAACGCGCCCTTGCTGCCTATGCGAGTAGTACGCTTCTTCATGGATCTCCTAAAGACTGGGATTCCAGATTTGAAGGATACGAAGTTAAACATCGCGATGGCGACCAAAGATGAAGTGAAGGGGATGCCGCCGGCAGTATTTGGTATTGCGGGGCTGGACCCATTAAGGGATGAGGGCCTGCTTTATGCGCAGACGTTGGCGGAGGCGGGCGTGCCGACGCAGATCAGCCTTTTCAAAGGCGTACCGCATGCTTTCCGAAGGTTCGGAACGGCGCTGAAGGCATCGGACCATTGGGACGAGACAACAGAACAGGGAATTTTGTGGGCGCTAGGGAAGCCAAAGGCGAGCGGGAAGTTTGATGTTGTTGTGAAGGGCTAGCACTGTGTTGCATATAAAGAAACATGAATAGACAAACAAAGTAATGTATAGATCGCTTACTCGTGTAGAAGAGCTATTCGCCTCTTTACCTTCCCGTCCTCAAGGTCCTTCAATGTTCTGGGGAAGTCAGCAAGCTTTCCATCTGCAACTATCGGGTCTAAAACGCGTTGTGCAATCAGATCGAGAGCTTCTTTGAGATCTTGCGTTTGGCCACCATACGAGAAGATGATACTGAGTCGCTTTCTGATACCTACTTTCATATATACCGTGGTTTCGTGGTTCAGCGTGCCTACGCAGAGCATTCTTCCAGCTTGCCTCACTTTGTGAGAACTAAACAGACCTTTACGGATGCGTAAGTTTTTATACCTTCTTCCTTGTCTTCAAACCTTTGTTTTAGTAACGGTGCTGACTGGTATACCACAAAGTCCGCCACGATATCTATCTTTCCCGTCCACCCATGTTCTATCACCCACTCCTGAATGTGCTTCCCAGTGGGCACTATGTCTTCCTTTGGTATCCCGATCTTGACCGCATCCTCCAGATTTTCCTGCTTGACATCACTGACCAGGACCTTGGCTCCTACTGCTCTGATAATCTGCAGTGCGTTAAAACCCAGCCCACCTAGCCCGAACAGAAACACCGTCTCGCTCTTCTTGATCCCCCCTCGTCGGTGGATTGTGTGATAGGCTGTGGTCACCGCATTGGTAGCTACAGCGGCTTGACTCGGCGTCACGCCTTTCGGAATCTTTACTGCGCCCCGGACATTGATCGTTGCAACGTTGCTAGAATCGTGCAACAAAGTGTACGCATTTACATGAAAGGTGTACCATATATAAACTAACAACCCGCACTATACCGTTTGCAGGTGTGCCGGATCTGCGGTCTGGAACTGGTACCTTTGAACTTCCCCACACTGGCCGACAATGGCATGTCGAGCTGAGAGAAACAAGGAGAAAAAAAGGATGCAAGACATTTGATTCAAGCTCCCACATAAGGTTTGGATGAGAGATAAAAGCTTTGATAAATAACGAGTGATTGACTTTGTCCTAGTCACTCTACTCATCGTACCTTGCTACATTGACGCCTGGAAAATGTTAAGAGGTGGAGAAAACGATATTACCTCGTTTGGAAAAGAATCTGACTTGAGTCCTCTCGTCTTATGCAGACGTTGAGAAGATCTATCAAAGGCGCTCTGCATCGTCCGTAGATCCTACGTGGGAAAACCTGAGATTGATGCCAACATCTTTGAAGAGCATTGTCAAAACTGGTGGTGCAGAAAATGGGGCTACAGGCGTGGTCATAATGCTCAAATTCTTCAAATTCGGCAACTTCGCCGCACAATCCTCTGTAAATTTGACCAGCCAAACGCCCAAGTGTACGCTGAAAACCTCCATGTCATGCTTGTTGATCTTCAACAACAGCGTGAGATTCTCTATCGACGACGGTAGCAACTCCGCAAGCTGCCTGAGCAGAGGGCTACTTTGGAGAACAAGCTGTGAGAGTGTGGCCGCGAAAAGCGCGGCCCCGCACATTGTGATAGATCTCAGAGATGTGAATTCGCGGAGACATCCAAGTGATTCTACAGCAGAATGACCTGTTCGGTGACCTGCATCGCGCATGTCTAGATGAAGAGACTCCAGATTGTGTTTGTGGGGCAAAAGACCACGGCAGAGATACGATGGAGGGAAATCGCCAGCGTTGATGTAGGCCCAATGGCATTTGAAATATTTGAGCTCCTTGCATCCAGAAGTGAATTGTATGACTTCGTCAAAGTCCAGCATGCAGTCGGATATCTCAACAGTCTCCAGAAATTCGAATTTGCCGGGAAGAGTGGTAGTTTCTTGCGAAGCTCGCGAAGTGACAACGCCGCTGACCTTGAGAGTGTGTAGAGCTGGCACTGTAGCTAGCCCATGGGCAATATAGCGAAAGCAAGCAAAGTCATCTTCGAAGCCAGTATTACTGGTCTGAATCTGAATACACATGATCTGAAGCTTCGAGAATCCGTGTGCCAGAACACGCGCATGTGGCATGTAACGGAAATGACGCCATATTGATATCTCGTTTGTCTCCAAGCTGACCAGTGACAAGTGTTGTATGTTTGGAGCGTTGAGGATGATGGAAGCCAGGTTGTCGAAGTAATTCTGAACCGCCTCTACAGCATCCTCGTCTTCGAACGCATCAGCCAAAGTATTTCCAAGGTGATCGTCAAATCTATTCTCCACGTATTGTATGTGACGTGCAAGCGCGGGGGTCTGGAAAATTGTACGATAGAAGAGTGCTGTTTTTTCCTTTCCATTGCGCGTCCCTAAGCTTAGCAATGCAGAGTAGAGAACTGGTTCGGCGACGCTTCTCAGACGTCGTGAGGACAGGCATAGCGCATATAGCGTCTTTTGTCGAAGATGATTCTCGCGTTGACGCGTTCGCTCCAACTCCTTGGATTTGAAGGCTTCTGCTTGTGTTTGAAAGGTGCGAATAATGTGTAAATAGCCCGCAATGTGGAGCAGAAGCTCATCGGGAAGGTCTATGAGTCCAGTGCATTGGTATGTGGAAGCCATCTCGCAAATGTGTGGGCTGGCTGTGATGACCGTGGGTTGAGTTGTAGGAGGTGTTAGGTACGCCCAAACTCTTTATCTTGGCGGGCTCAGACGGTGATTAGCTAATACGCTACTAGCACCCTATTAGGTATCAATCCTTTCACACCCCTGTCAAAAACATCCATGCCATCTGAGCGTTGCTGAGATAAGTTACTTCGTCCGAAAAAATTAACAAAGTAGTTTACAAAATTTGCAAAGTCGCTGTGGCAGACGTTAGATGGCCAAGCCGAAAAGTATTGCTAATTATTTGTCAGTGTCTTCCTTCCTCTCTCCTCAGATGTAGCGGATTGAGGCTGTGTCACTACGCTATTCCATTACTGCCTCGCTTTCCCCTTGACGATCCTATTGTGCACATGTTACATGACTCAATTCTTGCTATGTACATATGTGTCTTCTGGATTTTCTCTTAGTAAGTAGTGCCCTAACTCAAGCTTCCTCGCTGTCGGGCATGAGCAAGGGCAAAAAACGGCAAAAAGGAAAAAAGAAAAGTTGCCTTCGGCCAGAATTGAACTGACGACCTCATCATAGACCAATTAGATACTAGTGATGCGCTCTACCACTGAGCTACGAAGGCGAGTTGTTGCAATTGAATTTCTTTCAATTTCCTTTTGCTTCACCATTTCTTTTCTTATATCTGCAATGTGTCCTCAGAAGTCTTTTTTAACTACCACTTCTTTCGTTGGCACCTCCTCTTTGACAAGCAGCGCTTTGTCCGCCAGGAGAACCTCGCCCTCCCCAGTAGCCTTTTCTTTTTCGACCACCGTTGATCGTAGTACTTCCTTCTTCACAGGCTTATCAACCGAAGTTTGGATCTGTAGATTAATTATCAATTGCATTGATCGAACGATGTGCCTCGTTGTGCCAGTTCCAGTGCCCCTGGAGGTGCATGCTTTAGTCCGGTAGGTACGGCGAGAGCTCACGGCGTACCTTGAAGAGTAGTATTGGATATTACCGGTGGTCTTCGGTGTGTGGCCTTTGGAGGTCAATGACATGGCTTTAGGTACACTGGGAGATGGATATCTGAAATTGTGTGGATCCACGCGGGCGTAGTGGGTATGAATAAGTACTCGTGCCGGTCCTAATGCGGAGAGCGAGATCGTGCCGGTGGTCGTGTTTGACGCACAGTCATATACTGGTACTTGAAAAGGATTTTGAAGGCCCCTCATTAACCACAATGGCCTTGGGGATCTCGTGTAATTCCACATATAGGTCGCTAAGAATCCTAGGACGGTCTGTGAACTAAACCTATGAAGGCACTCCGCAAGACCCCACTAGGAGTATATTCACCTTGTGGAGAAGTTCAAAGCGTTCCTCACAAGGAATGAGTTTCTGTATGAACGGTTGCTGCCAACAGCTATGCGGTCATGTATAGTCTTCTCCTCCGTACTAACTCTAGACAACACTCCTGACCTTTCCGGTCTTACAGTCGTAGATCCAGCCTGTGATTGTGATCCCCTCCTCAACAGCCTTGCTTTTCAACCACTCCACGTCCTCCTTCACCTTCTCCTCTAGATCTTGGAAAGTCAAGAAATCCAAGTCCTTGACTTCCTCTGCTGCCTTGTCGCCCTTGTTCTGCTTCACAGCGCTACGTCCACCTTCATTATCAAATGTCAACATTCCGCACCCAGTGTGCTTGACGATGAGTACTTCGGTTGTGCCGAGCAAATTCTGAGAGACGACGATGTCGCGGAAGGCGGCTCTAGCTGACGCGCCAGCATTTCGAATAACATGGGCGGCACCGAGAGTAATGTTGAAAGCGGCGGCTGGGTCAATGCGGGCGTCCATGCAGGTTACTACAAACGTCAGTATACGTGATAGGAGGTAGATGCGAGGACGTCACACAGATGGCATACTTCTGCGACGGCGGTAAAGCGAGATCGCCCTGGGTGAAGTTCGCGGCATACTCCTTGTTCCCCTCGACAAAGTTCTTCTGGACAGACGTCATGGTTGTAGTGGATATTTTCTGGTGTATCTTGATCTGAGGTCACAGGTAAAGCTTAAAGAGGGCGCCCTATTATTATATAGCCATGACGCATTCCCTCTATATCTGAACATCCATCTGCGCCGACCGTAGTTTGGCGGACTAGAGGTGATGAGAGAGCGGGGTTCAATCGCGCCATAGATAGACGGCGATAGATCGGCGAACGCAATATTAGAGTATTTTAAAAAGCACCTCGACGTGCTCGAACAAGTAAATTCGGCATCTGGACGATGCGCACTGGGCGTGAAGATCACTTGGTTCTGAGGTGCAGGGAGTACTGACGAAGTGGCGCATTTGCGACATATGTATGGGTGACTAGCGCGGCTCTAATCTATACAGTAGTACCACAGTACATACGCTAGTGCCACACCTCTCATCAACTTCAGCCTTGCGGTGTAAGACAGTATATAAAGTAAGACAATAGTAATTCCATTCAGTGTAATGATCATGATCTATCTAGAAGATGTCTATGTGATTGAATGAAGCCTGAGGTTCGGGCCAAACAGAGATTGCGCGTCTATTTATGCTTCGTCAGGTGATCGTATATATACCCTGTAGGTCTAACATGCGGCACCCTGCCTGAGAGCTTCTGTTCGAAATCGTTAGCTGCCTACAACCCAATCGACCATTGCTAAGCGCAGATCCAGCTGAGGAGCAAGCTTGTCCGTCTATATCAATCCTGTTCTGCTCCGCGTTCCAGCAAACAATGCTCTCAATTTACATCACAGAAGACAGAAAAGCATTATGTGCTAATTGATCGAGGAACCCCAGTGAGTCTTTCAACATACGGGATCAGGATATTCTGGCTATGACCGGCTTAGAGTAGTTCATTCTAATCACTCAGTCGACCGAATCCGAAGTTTCCATATGCAGTTTAGGTGTATAGTAACTCACTCTAAAAGTCATGGGGGTAAAAGTGATGCGTAGACGAAGCCCCAGAGTGCACTGTTTTGACATTCAGCTAGCCGTAGACTGGAATTTTCTTGCAAAAGATTATACAAGAATTACTATATCCTAGACTCTCTTCCTGGAACAGAAAATGCGGCCTAAGCATCACTTCACATTTGCAAACAGAAGTCACATGACTTGATATCAAGTCGAGTCGAATCTCACTACTGCAATTTACTGCAATTACCTGCAATTCTATATCACTCGTCTTACCACGTCAAGATGGGGTCCCCGTTTCCGAATGGCTAACCATCATCAGCTTCACTGTTAACATCCATCTCTCTCGCGGCAAACAGAAGTTATCCATGTCAAGCTCCTCAACTTGGGCACAAGAGATCTTATTCCCTCACACCGCTGTCGCAAAAACCTTACGATATATGCAGTCTCGGTCGGTATTTCTAGTTTTGGAGTTTTTGACAGCCACGGCTTGCCGTTCTCTCTCACAGCCTTCTCTCTGATTGGTCGCCGCAAGCAGAAGTCGAACTTTCTCACTGGTCGATCCCTAGTACGTGGGTATATAATCGTGGGTTTCTTCTTTTCTCTCCTCGTTCACACGTCTTTCACATTCTTCGATTACCTCTTCACTCCACTTGAGGTCATGGATCAACCTGCTGAGGCATTCCAAGAGACTATGGATATCTCTGCTACGTCAAAGGAAGACCCACCTGTGGCGGAGTCGGTCAGCTCTGTCGGTGGTGATGGTCACATCAGCCCAGATTGTAAAGACGACAACATGACAGAATCGGACGTGTCCAATCATGTGGAAACACCTTCATTTGCAGAGACCGACTTCCAGGACATAAAGCCTAACGAGAAGACCATGGCAGACGACACTGACACTGAATCTCCTGAGAAGGAGGAAATCAAGACAAGCCTAGACGATTTCGAGATACGAAAAGAACATTCTCCCTTAGACAAGCAGTCACAGGTTACAGAGCCTGCTATGAACTGCGATAGCATCAAGACTGACTCCGATCCTGGAAACTCTCTTCAGAGCGCCGCGACCCAGACCGACTCCGCTTTAGACTTAGATGTCAAGGTCGACATAGTTCCCACTCTCGGATCTCTATTCGGGACTCCAAAAGTGGCAACCACTGCAGTGTTGACCATGGATGTCAAGGCTCCTCAGAGGGAAGACCAGTCTCTACCAAATAGACCAAAGCCGAACGATGTATCCTCCATCCCCGCCCATCTCCGTCCACCACCAACGGCACCTCGATCGTTTGGATTACGGAGCTCAGAGGTGAATATCAATCCTCCCGCAAATGTAGCTTTGATTTTCATATTGACATTAGACAGTTCGCCACCCCTGCGCCTGCCCCTGACGTCCCCAAGACTCCTGAGAATTACAGGGCCTCTTATGATAGGTATCCTTCTCATCGGCCCCTTAATACTTATAACCACATGAGGGGTGGAGAAGATCTCGCCCGAGCGCAAGCTCAGAACATGCACCTGCAAAAAGAGGTTGACACCATGCGTCACCAGAATGAGACGATGCGTAAGAACATCCAACAAGAGATTGAGAAGGATACGGATGAAGTTCTGGGTCCCATGATGATCAAGGTCTTTCACGAGAAAGTAGCCCTGGAGAAACAGCGCGCTAAGTTGCGTCAAAAAGAGCTGGATCTCCACCATCGCAACATCCAGGTGGAGCAGAACGAATTGTTCCTCACCATAGGTCATCGACAACTGTTCTTCGAATTTGAAGAGCGAGAACGCCAGACCATGAGTGAGGTGCAGCTGGAGCATGCCCGCCGAGAAGGGGCTGCGAACGCTATTGCGAAGATGAAACAGGACGACATACGCATCAGCGCTAGACGCCAGGAACTCAGCATTCAAGAAGCTTATCTTGAAGATCGCGAGAGTCTCTACAAAGCCCAAGTCCGAGGTGTTGTCGAAGAGAAGGTCCGAGAACAACTCGAGCACGAGATGAAGGATCGGGAGTCCCAGATTATCAACGAAGCTTACGAACGCGGCTTAAAGGAAGGTAGGGACCAGGGACTCAAAGAGGCTGTTCAAGAAGCGAGAAACGACACCTATGCTGATGGCTTCCATGCCGGTTTCCAAGCTCAGAAAGCCCTGATCGCATTCAGGAACGGTGATCTTTCGCACGACAGCCCAGAGTTGGCCTTTATCATGGATCCCAACCACCCGAACAACCTTTTCAACATGGGCATGCAAGTTGGACGTCGTGAGGAAGCTCCCAAGCGTCAGAGGTACGTTACTGGGTACCTTCTCGTCTTAATGTCCACTGCTAATCAAAGATCTCTAGAGCTCTACCGGTTCATGCTACGATCTTCGAACAGATCAATGGCACGTCGGTCAAAATCAACGGCAACTATGTCCTCGCCAACGGGAACTCTCCTCCTGTCAACGGACACGCGAGTTCGGTAAAGGGACCTCCAGCTTCCAGTAATGGTTCTGCCAATCACTACAACAGCAATGGGCCCCAGGTGAAAGACAATAGAGCCAGCGACAACAACAGCAACGGAGCCCACGTCGACGGGAAAATGAACGGAGACTCGGGTGTTACGAATGGCAGCTCCCGAATCAAAGAACGCCATTTGTATGGAAATGACAACTACACTAGCACCAACGGCCTTCCTATGCACGCCAATGGCGATGCTGGCCAGTTCGGAGGACCC